GCAGTACACTGCAGCACACAGCTGATGTTGAACCCACACACCCTCATCACATTGTGTGCATCACGTCACCGCTGCAAGCCAAAACAAATGCAGATGTGCAAAAAATAAATAAATAAATAACAGGGCTTGAAATCCTGCAACTGGTAGCAAAGATTTGATTGATAAAAGTCATGAGACGATGATGAAGGACGTGGAAAAATCAGCAGGCTGTGAGACTGTGGGTGAAGTGGAGTAATTCTTGAAATTTAAAAGAGCTTAAAATAGACACAAGATGACAAAGTCACTGTGATCCTTTCTCTCTCTTTAGATGTTTTATAAGACCATAGCGTTTGCAAAACGGGATTTGCCGCGACTCCCTGGGGAGGATTTTGGCATTTATAGTAGCAAAGTAGCCTAGTGAACTAGACCAAATTCTTGCTTTGCAAAGAATGGTCTAGGCATGCTCCATTGGAACCTCAGCAGCTCCTACCAGGACTCTGGCTGGCCAATCACAGCTCTCTAGAGGGGTTTCAAACACATAAAGAGCTGTGATTGGTCCATAATGGTGGGCCAATCATAGTGCTCTATCTGCTTAGTGAACAAATCACAGAGCTTTATCCGCTTTGTGGGCCAATCAGGGCACTCTATATGCCTGGTGGGTGGGATGATGCAACAGAGTTAAACAAGAGTTTGTCACATTCATTGTCCAGTGGAATGCGGAGATCATTTGAAAGACAACGGTAGAACCCGCCCCACAACCGAGAGCCGTCAATGGAGCATGGCCAGACTAAATAATACATTTATTTAGTCTGGCTTGCCAGGCTAGTAGCAAAGCTGAAGCTAGAATAAACTGCCATCAGGCACCTCTCAAACCAAGATGGGATAAAGGGAGGTCGCTGGGCAGCCCGTCCACATGTGACGTACAGGGTTACAGCGTTACACGGAAGACACGTCAGACTGATGAAATTTCTTTTTCATGACCTTTAGCTTTGATGTGACCTGGTTTTTGTCCCGCTTGACACCTCGCTCAGCCAGTATTTTCACCACTCTGTCAAACAGCTGGCTTTCTCTCACGTCCCCGTAAAAAGGCGGCTAATTAGTTTGTCCGCTCACACGGCCAAAAGCTACATGGTCTCCGCGTCCGTCCAGTTTGCCATGTTGTTGGTGGTTGAAAGATACTAGTGAGATGCCATGTTTATCTGTGTTTATATCCCTTCCGGCCAGCACTGGGTGTGTAGTATACGTCACTAAGTCGACCACCCTCTTTTGTTGGGGGGACCGCCCACAGTCACTCCAAAAGGATTAACGGGGCTGACATGCATTTAGCCATCAGAGGTAAGGGACTCATGTGGCAATATTACTACGAGGCTAAGCGCATCAGAATCGAGTTTTATCACCTTTCCCCTTTGCTCTTTGCCGCATTTACGAGACCCAGAAATTCGGATTTATCACTCTGTAATGATGGTCTGTCTTATAAAAGAGACGTTTCTGTCTGCCCAGCCCTCTCACTCTCTCATTATCTGCATGCCTTTATGTCTCATGAGGAATCTGAACTTGGCCTGATGGTTTCTGCTACATGAATGTTTGCACATGAATGCCAAAGAGGAGGTAGCAACAAGGAATTCAAAATTTTAGTTTGAATTTGAGAATCTTAATTAACAGCAAGAAAATAAAAATTAAGGTTATAAAATGAGAATGAAATTATATATATATATATATATATATATATATATATATATATATATATATATATATATATATATATAACCCAAAAGAAACAGAATTAACAGGTAAAGCAGCATGAAGAGAAGCTAGTGAGGAAGAGGAGGATAAACAGGAGATCACATGTAATCCAGCCTGACCCGGTGAGTTCTCAGCTGCATTTTAAAGGAGACCACTGAGTCCACTGATCTCAGGCTCAGAGGGAGAGAGTTCAGAGGCTGGGGGCCACAGCAGCAAATGATCTGTCACCTTTGGTCTTTAGACTGGTGCTGCACAACCAGTAGGCTTTGGTCACTGGACCTCAGGGAGCTGCTGGGGGTGTAGGGACTGAGAATATCACTAACCAGCAGCTTCGGTGTTCTTAAGTGTAGAAAACAGACACTTATGTGAGGTGCATTATTTCTAACTAAATCATGAGGATCAAAATAAAAATTTACAAAAAATATATGGATAGCCCATAAACTCCATGTAAGTCACACACCTAATACCATCCCACAAGTGAAAAACATTGGTGTGTGGATATGAAAACAGGCACATATAAAAGCTCGCCAAAATATTTAACTCTGAACGTTTTCATGTGTGTCTTACCAATCAAATTTGAAAGGAAAAATCTACAATTTTTACATGTAAATAGTTGAATTTTGAATTTATTTCACTAAAGTTTAACTAAAATGTTTTAACCTAAACATGTATAATTTATGTGTCATCAGAAAAAGAAGACGAAAAGATCCAGGCCCTGATGAAATACATTACATTTAAATACATTAAATTGTACTTTGCTTATTTGGTTGTGTTTTTTAACCCTCCCACTGTCCATTCATGGTTTCCTTCAGCTCCTAGTCGCTCATTTCTTAATGCATAGTGATTAGTCCAGCTACCATCACTCATTCGTCATCCTATTCAATGCTGGTACTGGAGGACCAGCAGCATTTTTCTGAAGGTTCCTTGCACCAACACACTTGGTTTGAATCAGTGGGTGACTAACAAGCTGCTGAAGAACTTGAGGATAAACTGAGGTGATTCAATCATTAAACCAGATGTTTAGAGCAGGGAAACAGCTAAAACATGCAGGGCAGTGGTCATCCACGACCAAGCTACAATAGCCCTCTCCGACTGCTTTCTGTAGTTCTTTTTATTTTGGAATATCATTATGATTAGTTTTTACTCCCTCCTGCCATGTCAGCTTTTTATTTTCATTATTTAAATAGTTGCTTTATTCCAGCTCTCTGCCACCTTCGTCTACACTTTGGCACCAACAATGACAATGTGATTTTATGACGGTGCTGACCTTATTAACTAATTGCTTTGTAGAAAGATCTACTGTATTCTCAATGACACCTTTTGGTACCTATAAAGAAATAAATATATCTTATTTTCTTCAATGTGCTGTATATGTATGGGGCAATGGGGGCAGAGGAGTAAAGTGCCCTCCCCATAAACGGAGGGTTGCAGGCTCGAGTCTCCCTCAGTCTGTCACAGTTGTTGTATCCTTGAGCGAGACCCTTCACCCTCCTTACTTGCTGGTGTTGTGTCTGTCAGTGCTCCCTAAGCAGCTGTGGCTACAACGTAGCTTATCACTATCAGCATCTGAATGGGTGAATGATTGATGGTGCTGTAAAGTGCCTTGGGGAGCTGTAGAACTTTAGAAGATGCTATATCAAATAGAGGCCATTTACTATGTATATATATATATATATATATATATATATATATATATATATATATATATATATATATATATATATATATATATACATATATATTTATCTGTCATGGTCTGTGTCTGCGTCTTTCCCCATGTGTCTCCTGCTGTCCTCCATCCCTCTTTAGATTCCCCTTTTGTGCCTCTTAGCGCCCTCATGTGTCCTTTGTCTGCATCTCATTTATGTGCCATCTGTTTGTAGCCTTTCAGGTCATCCCCAGCCCCTCCAGTCATAGCCCCAGCCTCTTTGTCCCCAGCTTGGTGTGTGTGTGTCATTTCCCAGCTTAGTGTGTGTGTGTGTGTGTGTGTGTGTGTGTGTGTGTGTGTGTGTGTGTGTGTGTGTGTGTGTGTGTGTGTGTGTGTCCTTCTCCAGCTGTGTGTGTGTGTATGTATGCATGTGTGTGTGTGTGTGTGTGTGTGTACTTCTCCAGTCAGGTCCGGTATCCTCTCCTGCTCCTTCCTGCTCCTCCTCCCTGATTAGCTATTGCCTTCACCTGGTTCTCTCCCCACACACCTGCAGCTCATCTGCCTCCCATTAAGCCCCAGTCTTTAAATTCCTGTCTGTTTCTCATTGTCTTGTCGGTTCATTGTTGTTTGTCAATGTTGTTTTGGTGCTCTGTGTGAGCTTTAGTGTCTTGTTCTCGAGTTCTTGTGCTCTAGGTGAGCTTTTGTTCCATTCACCTGGGTTTTGGATTTTTGGATTTTTGGCTCGGTGCCTTTTTGGATTTAATTTTGTTTCATCCTGCAATAAAATGATTTTTACTTTATATATCATCACCTGTCTCTTTTTGCCTGGGTATCTGCATTTTGGGTCCTAACCATCCCCTCAGCGTGACAATATCCTCTGATATAAATTTTTTGAATGTCCCATGATTTTAGTAAAAACTGCAATTTTGAGAATTAACTTGCATTTTTAACTCCTTTGATGTAAATTAATATAATGAAGCCCATTTCAAATTGGTTGTTTAGTTGGTTTACATTGTTTGTGATCAGAATATGTGATGAGTGCACATTTAAAAAAACATTGCCAGAAATTTGATTTCCTCTATATTTTTTTCAGAATAATTACAAATACAATATCATTGTACTTAATTTGTTTTCAGATTCATTAGTGCACATATTTACACACAGGATACACTTCCTTCCTTTATGTTCAATTAAACCTAATCTTAGATTAATTGCACATTTTCAAATGTTTGGTTAGATAGAAAATTCAGTACTCTGTGTGTCTTAAAGTAAACGTTTTAACAAAGACTCTAAACACTGCCCCCCTCACTCCCAAATGGTACCTTGGCCACCCTGACTATTTATCTATCCGCCCTGCCCGGAGGCAGCAGCGTGTCACTGTCCGTGGTGCTGAAACAATTGGAGGATAATCACCCCTCCGTCAACTCACCGGGTGACTGATCATTTTTAAAACCATATCTAGACCTAGTGTGTTCACTTTAAATGAGACTCCCGTGGTGGCTCCTCCAGGCCACAGGGTTCAGACTGAACTGGACCATCAGCAGACGGCTTGAGGGGGACGCTCCCTCCCCTCCCCTTCTCTCCCCTCCCTTCCCTGAAAGACGAAACAAAACTGCCTGGACTTGCCCTGTTAGCAACAGAACCTCGGCTATATAAGGAACAGACAGCGCAGGTCTCAGTCGCTGTGAAAGCCATACACCCCTCCACCTGGCGCACACACATACCCACACACACGCCTGCAGATCCAGCACCGTCCTATTCATTCTAGCGCACATCCTCTGACCGGATGAGTTACCCGTTGGACACGATAGGAAGTCCCTTCAGGAGAGTTATGGATACCAGAACAACCAGTTACGGCTACGGCCGCCCCGCCGGCACCCCTTCCAGCGGTTTTCGCTCCCAGTCCTGGTCCCGGGCAAGCCCGGGCTCCACCCTGACCACGTCCTATAAGAGGAGCGTCAACGTGCCGGTGTCCCGAGCCTACAACCCCACGGTGCTCTCCTCAGCCGACAGCGTTGATTACAGTCAGACCTCCATCCTTAACGGTGACTACAAGCGATCTAATGAGAAGGAGCAACTTCAGGGGCTCAACGACCGCTTCGCTGTTTATATCGACAAGGTGCACTACCTGGAGCAGCAGAACAAGCAGATCGAGGCGGAGATCCAGGCACTGCGGCAGAAGCAGGTGTCACGCTCCCAGCTGGACGACCTCTATGACGAGGAGCTGAAGGAGCTGCGCTCCGTGCTGGAGCAAATCCACCGGGACAAGGCGCAGATCCAGCTGGACACCGACCACATCGAGGAGGACATCCAGCGGCTCAGGGACCGCTTCGAGGAGGAAGCCCGGATCCGCGAAGAGACAGAAGCCATAATCCGCGTCCTGAAGAAGGACACCGGCGACTCGGAGTTGATGAAGTCCGAGTTGGAGAAGAAAGTTCAGTCGCTGCAGGATGAGATCGCTTTCATTCGCAACAACCACGAGGAGGAGGTGAGCGATCTCATCGCGCAGATCCAGGCGTCTCAGGTGACCGTGGAGAGGAAGGACCTCCAGAAGGCGGACATCACCGAGGCTCTCCGAGAGATCCGCTGCGAGCTTGAGGGCCACTCCAACCAGAACCTGCAGCAGGTGGAGAATTGGTTCATGTGCCGCTACACCAAGCTCACCGACGCTGCGGAGCAGAACAAGGACGCCATAAAGTCCGCCCGGGACGAAATAGCCGACTACCGGCGCCAGCTGCAGTCCAAGACTGTGGAGCTGGAGTCCGTCCGGGGGATGAGGGAGTCCCTGGAGCGGCAGCTGAATGACATCGAGGACCGCCACAACAGCGACCTGGCCAGCCTGCAGGTGGGGGCCGGGCAATTCCAGAGGCAGCCGTGCGTTAAAACGGTCTGAGTGATATGAAAAGATTAAAACATATCTATAAGAATTTATTATATTAACGTGTTTCAGACATAAATACAGGATTTGGGAACCAAAAAGGTTTTATTTTGATGGCGCAGCTTATTGTAAAACATAACAGTGAAAAAAACAGATGGCTTTGGCTCCTTAATGCTTAGCTGCAACATGACTTTGCTCGTTTTCTGAGGGAGTTCCAGGAGTTATGAAATGGTTAAAGGGAGACGCTGCAGTGTGCACTCTAGCTCCTTTCCCTTCTTTCTTGCTGAGTCAGAAGCATGGGTCGATGCCTGCATTGGTTCTGTCATTTCATTACACCACTGAGATTTTGGGGCGGGGGCTGCCCTTGAAACAGGGACATTCGGCATCTCCAGACCAAATAATTACATCAGACTACATTAACTTGACTCTAGTTGGCACAAAACAGGAAGAGGTTTACTGCAGTAAATGTTTGGATACAAAAAATGAGTTTGTTTTAAGAGATGCTGCATGAAATCACTGAATTATGCTGGAAATGTACTGATTTATGTGAACTTAACCACCCATGCTGTGTGTTTCCCAGGAGACAATCCACCAGCTGGATAATGAACTCAAGAGCACCAAGTGGGAGATGGCTCGTCATCTTCGTGAGTACCAGGACCTGCTGAATGTCAAGATGGCCTTGGACATCGAAATTGCTGCATACAGGTGGGGGTTCAAAGAAAAATTAGCAAACGGTTTTCAGGATTTTGGTAAAAACTGAGGATTAACTCAGCACTGAGCTCATTTCATGTCCCCACCAGGAAACTTCTAGAGGGTGAGGAGACCCACTTCAGTACTTTCCCTTATCGCCAGGCTGTCACTTCATCTAAAAGCTCCAAATCTAAATCTGAGCCCCCAAAGCTGAAAGTGCAGCACAAGTTTGTGGAGGAGATCATCGAGGAGACGAGGGTGGAGGATGACAAGTCTGACCTCGATGAGGCCCTAGCAGAGATTGCTCATGAGCTTTCTGCCACTCCAGGAGAAGGTGGACAGGAGGAAGAGGAGGGGGAGGAGGTGGAAGAGGAAAATGGGGAGGGGGAGATTGAAGAAGCAGAGGGAGAGGAGGGAGGTGAGGAAGAGGAAGTTGTAGCTGCCACCGAAGCTAAAGTTAGCGCTAGTGCACCTACTAAAGATGAGGAGGAAGATGAAAAGGATGGTGAGGAAGGAGAAGAGGGAGAGGGAGAAGGTGATAAGGAAGAAGAGAAGGAAGACGAAGGAGGAGAAGAAGGGGAGGGAGAAGATGAAGGTGAAAAGGTGGATGAGGCAGATGCAAGTGATGAAGAGGGAGAAGGAGGAGAGGAGGAGGAAGTTGAGGAGACAGTGTTGTCATCCAAAGTTCCAGAGTCGAAAGCATCTCCTGTGAAAGAGACGGGAGGACACAAGGAGGGCAGCACCGGAGAGGAGGAGGAAGAGGAGGCTGCTGCTGAACAAGAGGCTACTGCTGAAGAGGAGGGCGGCGATCAGGAAGAGGAAAAAGGCAGTGATGAAGCAGCTAAAGGTGGGGATGAGACAGAGGAAAAGGATGATGCTGGAAAAGAAAAAGAGGCTGATGAGGAGAAAGGAAAAGATGAGAAAGCAGAAGACAAATCAGAAAAAGTTGTAGCAAAGTCTGAAGCTCCTAAAACCGAAGCTGCAAAGCCTGAAGTGAGCAAAGAAGAGGCACCTAAAGCAGAAGAATCTAAACCTGAATCCCCCATGTCTGATTCACCTAAGCCTGGTTCTCCTAAATCTGAATCCCCAAAACCAAGTTCCCCCAAGTCTGAATCCCCACAACCAAGTTCTCCCAAGTCTGAATCCCCAAAACTGAGTTCCCCCAAGTCTGAATCCCCAAAACTGAGTTCCCCCAAGTCTGAATCCCCAAAACTGAGTTCCCCCAAGTCTGAATCCCCAAAACTGAGTTCCCCCAAGTCTGAATCCCCAAAACTGAGTTCCCCCAAGTCTGAATCCCCAAAAGTGATTTCCCCCAAGTCTGAATCCCCAAAAGCGATTTCCCCCAAGTCTGAATCCCCAAAAGCGATTTCCCCCAAGTCTGAATCCCCAAAAGTGATTTCCCCCAAGTCTGAATCCCCAAAAGTGATTTCCCCCAAGTCTGAATCCCCAAAAGCGATTTCCCCCAAGTCTGAATCCCCAAAAGCGATTTCCCCCAAGTCTGAATCCCCAAAACTGAGTTCCCCCAAGTCTGAATCCCCAAAAGTGATTTCCCCCAAGTCTGAATCCCCAAAAGCGATTTCCCCCAAGTCTGAATCCCCAAAAGTGATTTCCCCCAAGTCTGAATCCCCAAAAGCGATTTCCCCCAAGTCTGAATCCCCAAAAGCGATTTCCCCCAAGTCTGAATCTCCAAAGTCAGATTCTTCTAAACCAGACACCCCTAAAGCTGAATCTCCTAAAGAAGGCTCACCCAAGCCTGAATCCCCTAAGCCTAGCTCCCCTAAAACTGAGTCCCCCAATACCCAAACCATCAAACCTGAGGATCCAAAGGAAGACAAATCAGAGAAGAAAAGTGACCCAACAGAGGTAAAGAAGGTAGAAAAGAAAGATGTTGCCATGAACGGTGATGTAGACAAGAGCAGCCCAGAGGAGGAGAAGAAAGACGACATGATCGCCAACGGCGTAGACGAGAGCCCTATGAAGGAGGATAGTAGCCAGAAAGTAGTCATCACCAAGACTGTGGAGACAATCACCACAGGAGAAGACGGGTCCCAGCACGTCACCAAGTCCATCACAGTGACAGAAACTGTTAAGGAGTCTGAGGAGGTGCTGCAGGAGAAGCTGGTCTCCACAAAGAAGATGGAGAAGCACTCAACTCAGTCCATCAAGCAGGTGACAGAGGCCGACTGAGCAGGAACCAAACAGCAGGAAAAGGTGGAAGAAGCAGTAGAGCAACAGGGAGGTGGTGGGGGACAGGAGGAGGAAAACACAAGCAATCACCAAACATAAAGAAAACCATACAGCTAGAGCGATGTAACAATGACAACCACTCTGAAAACAAATCCTAGAGAGAAGCCAAAATCTAAAGTTCAAACATGCATGTTGAGTGAAAGCTTTAAACGGGCTTTGCTACTGAAGAGGCGAGGAGCAAGCGACCGAGACATTTTAACCTTTCTTTCTATCTGCTTTTTCAAGGTGAGCTCAGGGGTTCCACGAAGGGAGGGGTAGACGGGGTCTCTGCATGCTAGCTCTGGGAGGTGGAGTGGAGTAGTTTCCCCTCTTCTCTGTATGTTTGGTAGGAAAACGCACCATTACGAGGGTGACGACATAAAAGCTACACATGTTATACGAGTGGGGGGAGAATGAATTTTAGGGGCCTTGGTTTGATTTTTGAGTTTAAACCGCAGCAGGTGGGGTGGAGAAGGCCAGGCGGAGGGTCCCCGGCGCAGACATGCACTCTACTGACAAAGCCTTACTTGACACGTGATGTTGCCATCTGAGCCAAAACAGAAGCAAACAATAAATACAAAAAATGGGGTGGAGACGAAGAGGAGCAGCGACACGATGAAAACATCAACCACAAACATCCAGTAACTGAAGCAGTTACAGCTTAATGACCCTGATGAAACTCCCAGCCTTAAACATGCTTTTTATCTGTGTCTGTTATGTTTACCGAGTGCAACAGAACAAATATACCTGTACATGCATAGGAACATGCATTCATGTACGCATAGAATGGACTTGAATTTAATTACAGAAATAAATGAGGTGCTACTGTTTGCAGTCCCATGACTTTACTCATCATCAACTATTTCCCAGCAGCCTTTGCTCAATAAATGTCATAATAATGTAAAGATGCTCTTGCCTCTTGTCTATTTATTTTTGATCAGCTGTACACATATTCTATTCTATATATTATGTGAAGTCAAATCAGTCACTGATTTTTTGTAATTTTTCTTGATTATTTATTTTATTATGGCAGCAAATATAATATTCTGTTGACACAGGTGTAGAGGGTAAATGTTGATTTGCTTTTATTGAACTGATTGTGCTGAATCAGTGCACCAAGATGCAATCAGCCGTGTCAACTCAGCAAGTGATGTGAGATTTTATGTCTAAGAGCTTTGGTGCAACGACATAAATCAGCGGTGGTGTGTGTAAATTAGACTTTTATTATTATTTTAAAGTCAACATCAGGGCTGTGAAATGAATGCTGCCTGCTTGATTGAGAGCACTCAATGCTGCAGGCTGAGTATGGTTGAGCTAATACTCATAGCTGTGGAATTATATCATGGAGCCGGCTTCTTTTTAAATTAACTTTAAAGCTGAATGATTTTCCCTCTCCACCTTTTGCTGGAGTTGATGAGTTAATAATCTGGTGTCAGCAAGAAGATCTGGGCAATTTTGATGTGAAAATTCTTGTTGTATTTGAGACTTTGTGCACATAGATTGAAAAAAATAAACTTGAATTTACAAATAAATGAAATTAGGTTCTAATGAACGCAATTATCTCTTTAAAGCTGGTAAAGTGAATCTTCCAAGCTGTTCATGACTTCAAATGGTGTTTTTTGTCATGTTGAGACCCAAAGTACAGGAACCCAGAACAACTCGAGGAGATGAGGTGTGTAAAAACCAAAGTCTTTATTTTGAGAAACGTAAAAAACCCAATTCCAAAAGACTCCAAAACAAGGGAGCCAACTAGAATACAAAATAACCGACAGGAGGGAAAAAACTCAAAAAGCTCGAAACACTGGCAGTTGGAAATCAGGGGGCTACGAACACACAGACAAATGACAATGGACTAACAAAACACTAAGGCCTAGTCCACATGTAGCCGGGTTTTTTAAAAACAAATATCCGCCCCTCCAAAAACTTGCATCCACACCACCTCATTTAAAAAAAAAAACTGTCCACACGTACTCGGATAAATACGTTGTTAAGGACATGCCAGACCTGTAGGCGGCAGTACTTCCCCCGTTCTTAACCTCGTCCTTCGTCTGTGGTCTTCCGCAAGGAGCAGTAATTCCGCTTGCAAAAACAAACAAGCAGAAAGCGCTTGGACAATTGATGGATCGGGTAGTGACAGAGCGCAGCTCTGAGGGCTTCCATGATGTCGGCTAGTGTAAAAACAGGTCGCACACGTGATGTCAGCATTTTTTGTCGCGGAAAGTGACGTTGCGGACCTTAAAACTCCGGTTTTGTCTGTCCACACGCAGACACCCAAAACGGAGAAAACGCAGATCTTCACTTTGGCCGGAGTTTTTAAAAAGATCCGTTTTCGTGTGAAAAAACTCAGTTTTCGTGTGGATGACAGGCCAAAACGTAGAAAAATATCTACGTTTTGGCAGATCCCCGGCTATGTGTGAACAGGGCCTTAGAGACAAGACGGGGGCTGGGTGATTAAGGGAATTGGGTGCAGGTGAGACTAATAAACTGAGAGGTGGTGCAGAAATGGGCAGGGGAGAACACCAGACCTAAATCCTGCAAAACAAGGCTGCTAAACTAAAATAAACCTAAACACTGTAGAACTAAGACACAGGAGATCTAAAGATAAGTAAAATAATGACCTAAATGGGGAAGAAAACACAACACACTAAAGGAGATACGAACTAGATAATCTGAGCGTATAGAAAGCAGAAAACAAATGAAGTAACTAGGGGGAACATGAGGGGAACCTGGAGGGGGCTGGGGACCACAGGGACACAAAACATGACATTTTTCTTTTTGGGATTCTGGTAGTTTATTCTAAACTTGAAGTGGTAGCAGCCGGCTGTTTCTCCTGTGATATTATTGAGAGGAGAACCTCTCACACCAGTGGTGTTCTGTTGCTAAATATGTGAGTGAGTAATGAATGGACGACCCAGGGAAGGACATTGTGTAGCGTAAGTAGGTGAGTGAAGGCGTGATTCTCTGAGGTCTTTGGTAACGCCTTTAAAACTTGTCAAATTGAGATTTATAGAATTTATAAACAAAAGTTTATAAATACAGGTCAAAGTTGATACATCCTGGTTCAGCCGACCGGTGAGCAAGCATTTGGAACCATCCTCTCTTTTGACCCCAAGGTCAAATCCTCTCTGTAACACGTGCCATTGATATCAAACATCGGCTCTTTTAAGAGCCACCGAACATCTCAGAAAACAGATACAGATACTCCAGTTTCCTGCTGTCTCCTGAAGGTATCTCACACTAGACGGGTCGTGCTTGGAGCTACACTATGGGTTTCGTGCCCAGGCAGTGTCCATCCCGACCTCTTGACCCCCTGGATCACCATGGGGACCTTCATACTGTCACGTTGTAGGTGTAGATGACGGCGGACCATGTGTGGTAGAGCTGACCAGGAGGTAAAAAATGCAGGCTTCAGTAAAAGTAGAATGGTTTTAAAGGAGGACTGGGAATGACAGGAACAAAACACAAGAACTACAAGCAACAATGATCTGACCAAGGACAGGAGCAAAACAGGTGGTATAAATACAGAAGGCTACTTAGGGAAACATGGGCAGGTTAACGAGGGACAGGTGAGAACAATACGGACTAATCAGGGCAGGAGAGAAACACAGTAAGGAGGGCAGGGGCAGAACGTGACAGTATCTCCCCCCCCCCCCACACCCCCCCCCCCCCCCCCACCCCCCGTAAGGGCGGATACCAGACGCCCACAAGGCTACACAACAGAAGAGACCGGGAACACTCGACTGGACTGAGGACAGGACTGGAAACACTCAACTCGACTCAGGAACACTCAACTCGACACAGGAACACTCGACTCGACACAGGAACACTCGACTCGACACAGGAACACTCGACTCGACACAGGAACACTCAACTTGACTTGGCACAGGAGAACTGCAGGAGCAGTCGTGGGACCCAGGCAGAGAACTGCAGGAGCAGGCGTGGGACCCAGGCAGAGAACTGCAGAAGCAGGCGTGGGACCCACACAGAGAACTGCAGTGGCAGGCGTAGGACCCAGGCAGAGAACTGCAGCGGCAGGCGTAGGACCCAGCGGAGAACTGTAACAGCAGGCGTGGACCAGGAAATGGACGCTCTTTGGGAGCGACGCAAGGAAACCAGGATCGGCGGCAGGCACTCGACAACCGGTCAGAGCAGGTGCACAGCACGATTGCAGGGTTTCAGGCAGAGGCTTGGGTGCAGGGAAGCAGGAGAAGAGCGGGGAGACCAGCCCTACCACCCCGGAGAACAATGGCGTGCGTAGGGGATGTAACTCCCTTGAAGCTCCAGGATCCGCGGCTTCCATGAGAAGAACGGGAGGGGGCAGAAAGCAGGAGAGGAGAAGGAATTTTACCACCCCGGGAATGAGTAGGATGCGCCGAACCCCCTCAATGGTTCGACCATCCCGGAGAACAGGTAGGATGTGCCAAACACACTGAGTCCGAATCTCCCTCCGCTAAAGGAGAAAAAGTAAAAAAAAAAAAAATCCTCCAGGGAGATGAAACAAAGCTCACCACAGGTCCAGGTTGGGGTCAGATCATTCTGTCATGTTGTAGGTGTGGATGACGGCGGACCATGTGTGGCAGAGCTGACCAGGAGGTAAAAAATGCAGGCTTCAGGAAAAGTAAAATGGTTTTAATGGAGGACTGGGAACGACAGGAACAAAACACAAGGACTACAAGCAACAATAATCTGACCAAGGACAGGAGCAAAACAGGTGATATAAATACAGAAGGCTAATTAGGGAAACATGGGCAGGTTAACGAGGGACAGGTGAGAACAATACGGACTAATCAGGGCAGGAGAGAAACACAGTAAGGAGGGCAGGGGCAGAACGTGACACATACAAGGGTGTGTATACTCTGCATAAATGGCATCAGATAGTTTTATGCATAATCTCTAGCTTATCAAACCATACAGCCGAACTGATTTTACAACCAAGATCTCTGAGATACTTACAAGGTTCTGCTAAATAGAATTAAATTCATTTGTATTACTATATACTTGACTCTGTCTGAATTAATATGAAGGGTGTTCCCTGTATAGTCAAAGATCCTAGAGTACTGTAAATCAAACATTCAAAGATCAATCAGATCCATATTTCATATTCATATGGAATAGCACATCGTTTTGATCACTTAACAAAAATGTAGCTAATTCTCACTGCTACAAGTGGTTTGGCGAGATCGACGACCGGATGGACCACTGGTTGCTTTTGTGTGTTATTGGTGTTTTTTAGACAAATGTGAGAGAAACGCGTTCATTAAAGTGGGAATCAAGACATAGGTGGAGACTTATTTCAACCAGACTTCCTGTTAGAAAAATACCTGGAAAAAAGGCGTGATTGGCAGCATCCCCCTCAACCCTCCAGCGTGCACTCTCAGAGTTTCTCAGTGAAAAAAAAAAAGAGTTGGTAACAAACGCGCGCACACTCGTGCCTGCACACAAGCATACACAAACATAAGACTCACTGCTCAGGAGAAGAGCAGACACAGAAACTGACTGCTGTAAGGAGGATTTCCTGTTCACCTCCTTCATTAGAAAAAAGAGGAAGAGGACGCTTTTCTTAAGGAGGCGAGCGGTTCCGAGCGCCAACGTGCGACATCAGCAGGTGAGTGGTTGAGCCAGGTAGAGGTGCGGCAAGACTCAGCAGGAGTCCAGTGCCGTGCAGCCACACAGTACTGCACAGACATCACCCTGCAGCTTTACAGCAATCAGCTGTGGCTGATTCTAAATTAATGTGGGGCACAGTTTTAACCTGAAGATTGAAGTATAGTTATGGTTTTGGGCTGAAATATTACATTTGAAGTAAGTTGCACTAAATAGCCAAAATAATGATTACACATGTGCACAGCACTATTAGACACTCATCTATACAGGTTGTCAGCAAATAAAAGTTAATTTAGGTGTTATTTGCTTTTTTTTTATCTCCACAATATATTTATACCGTAAATCCTCTAATACAGGCCTGTATTCAATTAACGGCCGGGTCTCATATTTTGGCCGGTGTCGGAGTCGGCGGAGGTGAATAATGGCCAGTCTCTTATTGTGGCCGGGTGGAATGTGGTAACAAGCAAGTACGGGGGGCGGTTGTGTCATCGTCTCACTTTTGATTTGCCAGTGATAGACCGCGAGGGTAACTTTAACCGTGCGGAGACAAAGAGGAGGCGAAAATTTGATATCAAGTTCAAAGAGAATGTGCGCTGCAGAACACTCTGGGGAGCAATAGGGGTTGTATGAACTAGTCGACTTCACTATAGTGACTTTTTATGCCTGTCATCGACTAGTCGCTGTCACGTGATAATGACCGGCAAGATGAAGCCCTCGGAAAAGACAGCAGCCTGCTGTCAGCAGGTGACAAGCTCCTGCGCATCGGGGGGGCAACGCGGTGTGCCAGAGCGTCGGTACTGACACGCGATCGTTCATGTCGGTTCATTTCCTTTAATGTTTTCTGTCTTTTATTTGCGCCTGATGTGTTTCGCTGCTGTGGAGTGGGCGCATCACCTTGTCCTCCGGTGACGCACCGATCACTGATGCGGCCGCCAAGCAGCGAGCACTCCGCTGTTTTTGCGGTCGGTAGATCTGCGTCCTGAGCACGGCCACAGTAACATTATCAAATCAGGTGTCGCCACCTCAAAAACTAATTTAACACGTGATTGTTCATGTCGGTTCATTTCCTTTAATGTTTTCTGTCTTTTATTTGCGCCTGATGTGTTTCGCTGTGGAGCGGGGCGCATCACCTTGCCATCTGGTGACGCACCGATCACTGATGCGGCCGCCAAGCAGCGAGCACTCCGCTGTTTTTGCGGTCGGTAGATCTTTTAGAACTGCAGCTCAAAGGTAACTCATAAGGTGAATATATATGAACCCAGGTAGCAGTTTGTTGAGAAGCAACATGTCTTTAAACCAAAGAGTGTTCAGTCAGGAATGTAATTTGTTATGTAACATGAATTTGTTTGTTACCCTCAGGAGGTGTCCTCTGTGGCAGCCATTTTGAAGCAGCTAAAGAGGAAGCCCGCCTCTTATGCTGCCTTTATATAGGAAATGCCTGAGTGGACTGATGTGATTGGCCGACTTGAATTGGAGGGGGGGTCGGAGAGTATATAGGTGGACTGCTGGGTGTGGCAAAGGGGTCGTTTTTCCTCTCTGAAAGTGACAGAGACTGCTAAGAGAGTTGGATGGGTGGCCATTTTGAATAGTGCTGGGATTTTCTGATTTTGTTTTTTGGACCAGAGGAAATAAAACTGGTTTTCCTTGTCTATCGACCAAGTCATCATGTTTCTTTTGTCCTCACTACACTTCACTGTGTAACAGTGGTGTCAGAAGTGGGATAAGAAATGAGAGGACGTGGAAGAACCCGTGGGACATAGAAAAGCCCTCTTGATGACATGGAAGAAACAGAAGGTCGGACAATGGAGCTAGATAAACTTCCTGAAGGAGCCACAGGTGGCGAAGAGGATTTTGAACCAGTGGTACGGCCTAAGCAGACTACAGTTGGTACTGTGAGTAAAGAACTTTCTGAACTTGACATATTTCTTTAGGATTGAGAGGAGATGCAGGAAGATAATAAACAGGCAGGACAGAAAAACAGTCAAATAAAAACAAGTTAGTTTTTGTACCTGCTGGTTGCAACAAACAGACACCATCGAAGGTAATCAGAAGTGAGGAACAGAAAATGAAATAATTATTTTAATGTTTAGAGCAGCAGGAACTCAGAGAGGCTGCAGGTGCAGCAGTGAGTTTGCGGCCGCTGCGCAGGGGGAGGGGGGAGATGGCTGAAGCAGAAACTACCGTTGTTAAAAGAAATGTGTTTAACTTTGAAAATGTGGGCGCAATTTTAATTGTCAAAAACTCCAGCGAACCATTAGTTCATTTTGCTCAAATAGAAATAGAGGCCTGTCTCTAATTCTGGCCCTCCTTCCAATAAAGGCCTGGAGCTTGATGAGCTTGAGTCAAATACAGGCCTGGGCCTGTATTAGAGGATTTACGGTAGTTATACTATGTTGTTAAGATGCATGAAAAATGTTTTAAGCTAAATTGTTTTCCAAACTTGCTATTTAGTTTTAATGTCCACACCAAGACAAAAACAAATACCAAACATTGAGTTTGTGCACACTTTTAAATCCTTTGGAGCCTTATCAACCAGTCAAACCTTTTTTAACCAGGATAAGCCTTGTTGAAATGAAGAATCACTGGTAGCCAGACATATTTCCTGACACATTCAACATACTAACATCATAGAAGGACATGGCAAAATGCATAAAATAGTAGCACATCAGCTATCACACTAAAATCTAAAGGCAATGAATGGTCAGTCATAAAATTCTGTAATAAAAAATGTCCAAAATCTCCTGCGGCAATGGATTGTGGGTAATACACTTCACTTATGCATTATAATAACATGTTTGATATTTGAGGGTATTGACACTTTCAGCTTGTGTATGTTAATGGATGCCAGGTCCAGGGAGTGTGAATAAGTAGTCCTTGGTCTTCAGCTCCAGGAAGTTGTCAAAACAGCACTTAGTAGTAGGTTACAGACTTGGCAAGTAACTTTTTATTCTGACATGTATGAATGTTTAGTTTCTTTTTTATGTTATTTGTATTTTTGTTTTATTTGACATACAGCTCAAACTTTAGTGAGCTGTAGATTAAAGTGAGCTCTTCCATAAGACCGGTCGACCAAAGGGTTAACATCATGTTAGCCAACGTACAGCTGACATTGGAAACATGAGAATATGGTACAAAAGTCATTTTATTTTTATCTTGGACTGACAGACCATCTAAATAGTCAGGAACAGTTTGGAGTTTTGGATTAATTAGCTGATTAGAGTGCAACACTTTGAGTCTGGAAAATTGAACCTTTTCACAATATTTTAGTTGTCTGAGATTTTGAATGTGGGGCTTTCTTAAGCTGTAAGCCATAATTATCCCAATTACAACAAATAAAGTCAAGTTAAAGTCCCATTAGTCATCATAACCTGGTGAAATTAGTCTCTGCATTTGACCCATCCTTGTGGGGAGCGTTGAGCAGCAGCTGTGGCTGCGCTCGGGAACTATTTGGTGGTTTAACCCCCCAAACCAACCCCTCAAAGCTGATTGTCAATCAGGGAGGCACTGGGTCCCAAAGTCTTTGGTATGACCCGACTGGGATTTGAACCTTGATTTCCCAGTCTCAGGGTGGACGCTCTACCACTAGGCCTCTGAGAAGGGTTGCAAAATCTGTCTTTGGATGTAGTGATCTCATTCATTAGTTTCACCTTTTAAGTTGAATTAGGGACAAAAATGAACTTTTGAAACATATTTTTTAAAATTTTGCCTGTGTAAAAAAACTAATTCTACTAATGTGGATCAGGAGTCACCACACCCTCACACAGGATTGAGAATCATTTATTGAATCACCCAAAAGTCAAACACTCACGTTGTCATTCAACAGACATCACAGTCACCAGGATTTTTGCAGTGAAATATTTATTGATTATTCTGGACATTGACAAGCGGTTACCTTGATCAGTAGCTGTAAATTGGCTATTGGATAGTTCTATTGAGCACCGTGTAACAAGCAGACTCGACAGCGCTGATGTCTCATCCTGTTATTGAGCTGCAATCTGGAAACTCACAACACCTTTGTTACTTTTTGTCCTGAGTGCTTTTCTCCTCTGCAGGCTCAGGTTTGGACGGTTTCTCCACAACTTTCTCTTTTTTTGCGTCATCTTTCTTTGGAGCAGGCTCCTTGATGTCTTCAGCTTCCTTTTTGGCATCAGCCTTTTCCACTTTCACCTCGCTCTTTTCAGATTCCTCTTTGATCTCTTCTTTGTCCTCAGCTCCTTCTGGTTTTTTCTCCTCTTGTGCTTCATCTTTGGCCTCACACTCACCTCCTTCATCTGCTTCTCCTTTCTCTCCCTTATCTTCAGCAGCTTCTTCCACCTCCTTTTTTTGCTCCTCTTCATCACCACCTGTACATTTCAAATGAACCTTATTATCCAAATGTAAATTTTTAAGTAAATAATGAATATGATGCAAAAATATACACTAACCCTCTTCTTCCTCCTTAGCATCTTCTTCCTCCTTTGCTTCCTCATCACCCTCTTTCTCTTCCTCTTCCTCCTCCTCCACTCCTCCCTCTTCTTCTTTCTCCTCTCCCCCCTCCTCCTCTTCTTTTTTCTCCTCTGTTTCCTCTCCTCCTTCCTCCTCCTGTTCTTTCTCCTCTTCCTCCTCCTTCTCCTCCACCTCCTCTTCCCCAGGGGGGCTGGACTCTGCTGCATGGGCGTGGCTGGCTGAAATGAGCCCCTCAGTGGTGCTGACACTGGAACTCAGCAGGCGGGATGTCAAAAGATAGGAGGTGCCAGAGCTCAAGCTGGAGAGGATGGGCCGGGTGAATATGGGCGGAGCCATGGCATGGGTGTACAAGGAGGCCACACCCCCATGAACGCCCACACTAAAACGAGATTCCTCCCCTTCCAAAAGCTTCCTGTAAAAATATGAGGGTTGAGAACAAGAGAAGTTAGAAATGTGTCTTTATTTACTCGCTAATTTCAGAATTTTGTCTAAAATTATTTTTAATAAAAAAAATGAACCTACATTTTAAATGTAAATTGCTGAATTTGCCAGTGAACTTTTCTAGCATGCCTGTTTTTCTTAGTTAAAATCATTTAAATACTTTTTTTTTTGCTGTAATAAGATAGAACACCCAACTTCCAAACTATAATTTCCCATAATGTCTGTATCACCTGTATGCAGCAATCTCAATATCCAGGGCCATCTTGACATTCAGAAGGTCCTGGTATTCCTTAAGGTAGCGTGCCATTTCCTGTTTAGTGCCCCTCAGATCATTCTCCAGCTCTGCAATGGTGTCCTACATAAAAACCAGCATAAATATCCTAAAACGGACACGGTTAGAACCAATATCACATCATTTGTACTTACGTGCATCGTAGCTATCTCAGCGCTCTGCTTATCCTCTATCTCATGCAGCTGCCTCTCAAGGGACTCATTGAGGCCCCTGCAGGCATCGATCTCCAGCAGGCGTGACTGAAGCTGGCGTCGGTACTCTCCTGCTTCATCCTTGGAGCTTTTCACTGCATTGGTGTGCTGGACTACTGTTTCTGTTAGTGAGCCCACCTTACTTTTGAACCACTCCTCGGCCGTCTGCATATTCCTTGCTGCCAGCCTCTCATACTGGGACCGGATGTCCCTGAGAGCCCCAGAGAGATCTGGAGTGGCGGTCTCAGACTCCACAGCCACCTGGACGCCCAGCTGGACTTGAGCTTGGAGTTCTGCCACCTCGCCTTCGTGAATCCTCTTGAGGAAGGCTAACTCCTCCAGTAGAGTTTCAACACCCTTTTCCAGCTCAGCCTTTCCCAAAGCAGCCTCGTCTGCCTCCCGACGGGCCTCCATCAACCTGGCCTCTGCCTCCTCTCGAGCCAACATTTCCTCCTCATATCGACTTTGCAGTGAGCTCAGAGTTTGTTCCAACCGGTCTCTCTGTCCCAGGACAGCCTGATGCTCTGCACTCACCTCATCGACAGCTGCCCTCAGGGATCGGGCCTCCTGCTCATACAGAGCTCTGAGACGGGACGGTTCAGCATGCTTTTGCCTAAGCAGCAGCAGCTCTGCCTCCAGAGCACGGTTCTGCTGCTCCAGCTCACGCACCCTCTCAATGAAGCCTGCAAAACGGTCATTGAGCTCCTGCAGCTGGCTGCGCTCTTGTGTGCGTACCGTTCGGAACTCGGAGCTGATCTGGGCTGCCTGGCTGAGCTCCAGCTCCAGGGAAGAGGCTGGTGAGGAAGAGGAGAACAGCACCCGGCTGGGAGAGGAATACTGCTTGCGGGATGAGGACAGTGGGGGTGCATGGGAGGAGTAGGCGGGGTGGGTCCTCCCTCTGGTAACCACCACACGAGGGGAAGGCTCAGCATACCAGCGTTTGTACAAAGAGGAGGTGTAGTACGGGTCATATCCGAGGCTACTCATGGCTGATGGCTGGAGAGATGGGCTGCTGTCTCTCCTCTGTGTGTGTGGAGGTGTGTGTGTGTGTGTGGAGGTGTTAACAGGGCTCAGGTCTAAGCCCCGACTGCCTGCTGCAGCAGCAGGCTGAGCTTTTATAGTCGGACGGAGGAGTCTGACGCAAACACTTTCTCTAAGCTCTGACAACGCAGTCTCCATAGGCTCCTACTGCAACAGCACACACTCAGAGGAAACTCGTGCAGTAGGGAAAGAGGCAGGACAGAGGTATTTTCACAGAGCAACAAACATTAGTGCAAAGTAAAAACACAAAATGATTTCCTGATTTTTATGTTAACCCTCTCAGGCTCAAAATAAGTGTTGATAAAAGGATGAACAACTAAGTTCTTCAGGGGTACTTCTGAGTTAAAAAAATGCTCATGAAACACGTATGTGGAGTAACCCGGTAGGTTTTAACATTGCTAATCTGCAACGCCTGCCTCCAGAGGGTTGAGGCAGACTGTCTCATAATTTTGCAGCAAGCATATTTTTATTTCTCAAATTTGTTAAAAAAAATACGTATGGGTGAAATAGTATTGCTGTATTCTTAGGAAGGGAGAGGGTGTCCTGATTTATTAAGACTGATGCAGAATGTCTCCTCCTGGTGAAGCAAAGAACTACAATCACAGCCTACAAACCACTCGCGATGATAAATTCACTCAGCAGAGGGTTACTGAACTGTTAAATCACAAAACAGCAAGAAAAACTGCAAAGATTCCTGTTTAAATGTATATGAATTATTTGTAGAAATGTAGAATAAACAGTATTTCATAATGACATATAGGTGGATGTGTCATGTTCTGTTTATATTTACCCTTTTTCCTGACACGATGCTAATATACGGATACCATCAAACATCAAAAGAATAAAAGTTTATTATTTTGTGTTTTGAGGTATTTTAATGTTTTCTCAGAATAAATAAAAGGCTCCTGTCTTTCCTTTAGCTGTTGTCTCATGTTTCATAAAAGAGACAAACATTTGCTCTCATCTGCAGAATAGATTTGCCTGGAGTTCAATTACACCCAGTTGCTGACATGCATTTTTCTTTTATCGGCGAGTTAGTGAATCTGTGCATGTATGCAGCAATTCAGACAACATTCACGCTGATATGATTTTGCCTTTTCAGCCATGTGCATAAATGCATTTTGGTGCAGAGCTCTGGATCAAAAACTGAACATTGTGTGTGCTGTGACCATTCATGCCCTTGATGCATGATGCGTGTCACCTGCTTATTTCTGCTTCATACCAAAGGTCCTGTGGAGCACTTACCAGCAGTTTTGTGCCCATATCAAAGTGCAGCAGGCAGCAAAAGGTGCTAAACCTCAGTGGAAGCTGTGTGGATGCTGCTGCTCGCTGATTCGTTGGAACAGATCTCACAAACTCCCCATAGTACACTTTTTCCCACTTTACCAGCAGTCTGATGATCTGCATCAAGGCACTTTGAGGCAGACAGGATGCTTACAGAACCTGGAGCAGTGAAACTGAAAAATCAGATGATCGGATTTCCTTCAGAAACACATTAAAAAATGTGCAGTGCTACAATCAGAGCAGTTGCTATCGTAACTGTATGAGTGATGATTAACCTCATTGGCAAATTAATGACACTTTCTCTCATGCTTGAAAACAAACCTGCTACTTATGGTTGATTGGGAGCAGCTACAGTGGGATGCAAATGTTTGGGCAGATGTTGAGCAGTGTTTAGGGTCATTGTCTTGTTGAAAGATCCAGCCCTGGTGCAGCATTAGCTCTGTCACTGATTCCTGGACATTGGTCTCTAGAATCTGCTGATATTGAGTGGAATCCGTGTGTCCCTCAACTTTAACAAGATTTCCAGTCCCTGCACTGGCCACACAGCATGGTGGAACCAC